CGCAGCATGTGGTGCTGGGAATCGGGCCCCAGTTCCTGCGCTTGCCTAAGCAGGAACTAGGAGCTATCTCACTGACCGTTATTTTGAATACTTCTAATATAGCTTTTAAAGTAGGAATTATTTTCACCACAAAATCTGAACTAAAGGAATGAAAATCCTTTTAAACAAGGAGGAGCTCCTGACACTTATTTAGAATTGTTAAGATCAAATTTTTCTGCCTCCTAAAGTACATTCTATTATTATGTAATTAGTCAAATAGTCAAATAAACCAGAATTTTGAACAAACAAATGCTTTAAAATTCTAATAACTATGCATAAGCAGTAAATTATTCTTACTTGAATTTCTATTGCTGTGTAGAGCAGGATTACTTAAGTATATAATTACATAAGAGAGCCACCAAACTTCCACAGGAGCCATTCCAATGAATTGTGTAAATAATATACTTTAAAAAAACACAACCTCCTCCTACATGAATTTAGATTTACCAGATATGGAGTAGCTCTGTACCTGGGAGACTAGAACACAGTCTTAAAAAGGCCTTCCTAATTAGAAATGGACCAGAGAGACTAGAATGACCCAAAGCAAATTAATACACATTTTTTCATAACTGTATAAAACCATTTTCACTATTATGCTTCAGTATAGAAAACAAAAGATCTCGAAAGTCACTGGTATAAGTTAAGAACTCCCACGTACAACAACCCAATCTTTAACATCAACATTCTGGCTCTTTAACTGCCAAATATTTGTGTTTATTTTTCATTCATTGTATTCAACACAGTAAGGTATCTAGGCTATGGCTAATTTCACTATACGACTAAGTTTTAAAGAATAAAGTAAGTTTTTTTTAAAAAAATCACATAAAATATTTAAGAATAGTAGGCAACAGGGCATTAAAAGGCCTAGAAATGTCATGTTTTCTGTACCAAAATGTCATTTTAAATATTCATACACGAAAGCTACCAACTTAAACATGCTGGGGAGATAGCTTAGCAACCTAAGTGACTGCCTGGCAAGCATAAGGACCTGAGTCTGAGCCCTGGTATCATATGCTGTGCCAGCCCCAGAACCATGGGCTTGTTGTGACCACCACTGAAACTGGGTGTGGTGGAGCATGTCTGTAATTCCAGTACTGGGGAGGCTAGGACAGGAGGAACACTATGAGTCCAAGCCGCACAGTGAAACCCTGCACCAAACAAATAAAGATTAAAAAGAAAAAATAAAAATGTATCTTTTTCTGGGCTGGTGAGATGGCTCAGTGGTCTAAAGCACCTACTTAGAACAAGCTTAGCAAAGCACATGGACCGCGGTTCAATCCCCCAGCACCACATGCCAGCCAGCCCCTCCCCCAGGTGGGCTGAGCTGGCCACACACAC